GCGGCAGCTCCGGCTCAAGCAAAGAAGCCGTAGTATGTGGAGTGTACTTCTGGCGGCTCCGACCGGAAAATCGCAACCCTGAAGCACAGACGTATAGTGCGCGGAGCACCTCCACAGCTCAGCTCAGGCTGAGCATCTTGCGCACAGATACAAGCGCCGAGCGTCTTGCGGAGAGAAACTTGCACAACGTGCACAGAACAGCTTGAAGACAGATGTCGAGCCACTTGCGTGCAGCAGCTTGCAGAGAGCAACTTGCGCGCAGCAGCCTGGAACAATGCAGCTTGCGCAGACACTGCCATGTTTCCTCTCGTAGGACGATGAGATGGAGCTCTCATGTGAGGATACACATTGAGCATCGCCGCGTGCAGACGCGCTCGCCGCATCGATGTAAAAAGGTGTCTCCGCGGCTGGAAGAGCGCTTGGGGAAAAATGCTTTCGGGGCAATCGTCCTCTAGTTTCCCGAGGTGTTTTGCGATTCTTGCGGCGCCCGCGCGAAGCTGTGCGGGGATGGGCGTGGTCGAGGTGCAAAAACTCGAGGTGTTTTTTTTTGCGTTTTTGCGGTGCGGGGATGAACCCTCTGCGGGGATCGTGCGGGTCGACGTGCTCTCGCTGTGGTCGAAGCGCTCTCGCTGTGGCGCCGTGCGATTTTACTTCTCGTGAAATGGCCTTTGGAAGTTGTCTCGTGGTTTGTGCGCCTGCTTTCGCAATCGCGCGGTCGCGGGTTCGATTCCCCCCTGGTCCGCGGCAGCTCCGGCTCAAGCAAAGAAGCCGTAGTATGTGGAGTGTACTTCTGGCGGCTCCGACCGGAAAATCGCAACCCTGAAGCACAGACGTATAGTGCGCGGAGCACCTCCACAGCTCAGCTCAGGCTGAGCATCTTGCGCACGGATACAAGCGCCGAGCGTCTTGCGGAGAGAAACTTGCACAACGTGCACAGAACAGCTTGAAGACAGATGTCGAGCCACTTGCGTGCAGCAGCTTGTAGAGAGCAACTTGCGCGCAGCAGCCTGGAACAATGCAGCTTGCGCAGACACTGCCATGTTTCCTCTCGTAGGACGATGAGATGGAGCTCTCATGTGAGCATACACATTGAGCATCGCCGCGTGCAGACGCGCTCGCCGCATCGATGTAAAAAGGTGTCTCCGCGGCTGGAAGAGCGCTTGGGGAAAAATGCTTTCGGGGCAATCGTCCTCCAGTTGTATTATCCCCGTTTGTTCGGCTTTGTTGGTGACACTTTGGCTTTCCTTGGGTCGCACTTTGGTTTCCATTCATTCCCAAAGAGCCGCTCTCAAGAAGGGCAAGGGTCTTGTCTGTGCTCGTTGCAGTCCGTTGGGCCCGAGTCCACAAAAGAAGGCCGGATGCCAGGCCCCAGAATGCGACAAGCGCTAAACGCGACAAACGCTACAATGTCAGTGGAACCCGTTCAAGGGAAGCCCTCTAAAACAGCCAGCATTTTGTTGGGGTGTTGTGGCTGGATCTGGTTGGTTCACTTCCAATATGTGAGGCATCCACCGTGTATGCGGCTCATTTCAGTCGCCTTGTGCTTGAGGAGATTGCTCAACGAGCTTCTCCAGAGCATGCAGCAGGACTTGGACCGAGGCGGGGTTTGCTGCTGGGGGTTTGCTTCTTAGGTCGGGCAAAGGTCACAGTGTAGATATCACAACAGGGGAGATTCCAGTGGTGGATTCGATTCCAGTGGTTGAGACCTGAGGGGTCTGGTAGAGGTGCAATCTTCTGCAAGGGAGTGCTAAGCAAGCTGCATCATGCCCAGGGCTTTAACAAGCTGAGCAATTTATTGGACTGGCATCCTTGCCGTTTGGGCCGTTTTCAAGTTGATCTACCGGTTTCCCCTGCGGGGTTGTTGGCGGCCATGTTTTTCTTCAGACCTGGGCTTAGCTTTTTGGTTGTTGCCAGGCCCGAACCCTCTTTTGGGCTGCCTCAAAAACAGGCAGCGCAAGCCGTCCAGCAATTCAATGTATCCTTCCCGGGTTCACTATTGTCGAATGGTCAACTGCGCAACTATCAAGGTTTCCAGTCGTTTGCAACTTGGATGCGAGGGGATGTACTGACAATGCATCCATTCGCGGCTTGGAAATTGGGGAGGGGGCCCTTAGGTTTTGGACAGAAATTGGAAAATCACAGCCATCGAAACTCCGGACTTCACTGTCTGCCTTTGCGACTTGTTCTCCCCTATCAGGCTATGTTTTTGGACGCCCGGCCCTGGATCCAGTGTTGATAGAGTGAGGATAAATTGTCCCGTTGAACAAAAATGGTTGCAAGGTTGAACACCCCGGAACCTGCTCTAGTCTCAAATTTGGGGCTTTCCCTTTTCGGCACCAGGCGGACTTGGGCGACCCAAATGGGTGTGGCTCAAAATTAAACAGGCGGGGCAAACCGCAGGTTTTGGTCCATGTTTCCACTTACCAGGATGCCCTACCATTTCGGAATTCCGGTTTTTGGAGCCACAGCCAAATCTCTGACGGGAAGCTCCGGGTCTTTCCCCGCAGGCCTGCCGGTGCGGCCGCGGCTCTTCGGGTGCTTCGCCAGCCGGCAGCAGCTCGCGAATTGTCTGCAGAGCGCTTGCGGCGAGGATCGGCCGTTTGGCGAAATTTGAGCGGATCGGGTGTGGCAGTCCGAGGGGAACCCAAAGGGTCTGGGCGTGTGTTCATAGGTGTCCTTTTTGGTTTGCATAGAAAAGATGGGTTCCACTGGTTTAGGTTGGTTGTATTCCATTTACCAGGGCCATCTATTCTTCCAAAAGGCCACATGTGTGTGTGTGTGTGTGCGCACGCGTGTGTCCTTTTTTTTCAGGGTACCCCTATTTTTTGGTGGCTTGTAAGGGAAAAACCAAAAGGAACACCTCGCCGCCAACTTGGGGGAGCCCTAAGAAAAGACACCCAAAACGACAAGAAGTTCCCTTTCATGCTCAAACAAGCACGAAAATCAACATCAAACTGGTACAAGATAACCTTGGACTCCAATGAGAAGCTCGAATCAATGGCAACTTTCTTGGGTTCACCATGTCCATTATTCCAATGGGAAGATTACAGCCTTTAAAAAGTCGCCACTTGAAGAAGAAACAGCAGGAACTTTGCAATCATGCAGTTCCCTTTGCAGATTGCTGGTTTGTTCTGTTTTTGCCTTCTTTTCCACTGTAAGAGGGACACGCGGGCGCAAGAATGCCATCCTCGCGGTTTTACTCGGAGGGGGCCAAGGTACTTGAAGTCTCTCTTCTCCGTGTTCAAGGCGGGGGGCCTCGAGCATGCTGCCATGCAACAGATGATTCGCGGCCTGTACCGCAGCTGATTTCTTGTCGTGCTTTTCCTTTGGCGGACGGCCACAAAGAAAGGCTTGATTTGTGACATGTGACCAACGGGGAACCAGCCGTAAACGTCCACGAGCCACTGTCAAATTGCGGGTGTTTTCTTGGTTGATTTGTGCAATGTCACACAAGGGAAAGCGGCCGTCGTCCAGAGATCGCCGCGCTTGAGCGCCAGAGATCACGAGCCATGGGCTTGGGAGTATAATGCAAGCCTCAGGAGATGGCGGAGCTACAGGGCATGCAGCGGATGAGCTGAAGCCCAAAGTGGCGAGCTGCGAGCTGCGGAAGACTTTCGCCTGGAGAGCGGCTGCAAGTGGTTGAACGAATGGGTTTTTTGGCGTTCTGGGGAACTCCGTGCCGGAGCTTTGAACATAAATCATCCGAACTTCTCACGCATCACCGACTTCTCTATGTGGGAATGGCCCTGTACTAGCCGTTTTTGTGTGCTTAGAGCTCATTGATGGGTAGCTATGATTCGTTGGCATGTCTTGCTTTGCCAACAATCGGAAACGCCATCCTGGTGGTAGATAAGCTACGTCGAGATTCAGTGGGGCAGGAGGGCAGCTGGATTCAAACGTCAGTCCATACCTCTCTCTCTCTCTCTCTCTCTCCCTCTCTCTCCCTCCCGTCTCTCTCCCTCTCTCTCTCTCTCTCTCTCTCGCCCTCTCTCGCCCTCTCTCTCTCTCTCTCTCTCTCTCTCTCTCTCTCTCTCTCTCTCTCTCTCTCTCTCTCTCTCTTGCTCTCTCTGTCTCCCTTTGTCCCTCTCGTTCTCTCTCTCTCTCTCAGTGTCCGCATGTTTTTTGCTTTTCCCCGAGCTGCTGCTCTTTCAATGAAGATCATTGGCTATGTTCAAGGTCTCTCTGGGCCACGCGCGCGCACAACCGCAAGCAGAGCATCATCGTAATGTAAAATCTTTGAAGCACTAGGTGCCAATGCGTAGGCATTGCTTTTTGCTGGCTTATCTTTTTCTATCTGCATCAAAGATGTGGATGACGTGCCAGCGTCAAGCTGTGGGAGCTGCATTCTATGCAGACATGCCTGGAACTGTGCTTCCCATCGGCGAATTTCGGCCTGATGGGCTGACATAGCTGCCTTGGAATTCGACGCACAAAGCATGCACAGGTTGACGAGCTTGCGTTGTGCGCATGCAATCCTGTGCAGCGGGTGCAAAGAGCTCATTTCAAGAGCAGGAGGACTGGATAAGACCTTTGTTGGATGAGGGAGTCTCAAGCAAAGCACTTGTGAAACCTGACATCGTTTTGGTACCAGATCCCTGCTCAAAAGGCACACCCTTATTCATGAACCGGGGGGTTCGTTATTGGGGTTCCCGTTGCTTGCTCGTATTCATGAAAGTCCTCTTTCTCCATATTCCTTGAGCATATTTTCGGATTTAGGTGTTTCTTGCAATATGCTACGCCCAGAAGAGTTTCGCTCCTCGGTTCCCTTGAAACTCTCAATAGCCTCCCAAATTTGGGGCACCGACATCACACGCTGAGGGCACCTGTTCTGGCTGATGGCTCGCAAAGTGAAGGATTTGACCAGACTGCAGCTAAATGAGCCCCGTACATCGGCCCCTAAAGATTGCAAAGTGAGTAAATGGAAAAAGTTGGGAGGGTGATGACATATTCGAGTGCACTCAGTCAGGTGATCCTTCGAAACCGCCGGTTGGTTTCGCCAGGTGGCTGAAACCGGTCTCCGCTCTCTGAGGCCTGGGTTGGCTTGAGCGAGGCATGCCGATGGGTTCCGTTTGCGCACCCGGTGGCTGTTGTCAAAACCGTTTTGGGATCCCATGGTTGGTGAATTCACCACCCAGTTTGGAACCTATCTTAGTGGAGAATGGGATGTTCACTGGGGCTACGATTTGGATTTTGACCCATGGCCAAGTGAGACCCGCTTGAAGGGGTCAAATTTCGTCTCCCCTTTCGGTTCTTGCGGCAAACCCTTTGTCAGGCTGCCATGCTCCGAGAAGTTGCCTTAGTGACAGCCTGGCTTCCGATTTCACAATCGATGAATGATTGGGCTCCTTGTCCCCAGGGTAACCTATGCTGCAGGCAATGCTGCAGCAAGCGCCCTGTCCCATTCCACTCCCCAGTTACATTTCCCCCCCGGTCACCAGCAAAACGAGTTCCCTGATCTTCGCAGGGTCCCTTGTCCTCCGGCAACCGCTGAATCAACCGGCTTGCCAGTGGCATGGGTGGGCCGCTGGAGGAGGCTGAGGCCGAATGAATGGGCTTGGGGACGGCTGGAGCTGTTTGTCCAGAGACCAATACTGTTGAGTCGGGATGTGGTCGGATGCTCCTGAACCCAATTACTGAAGTGGCAGCCCTTCAGAGGTATGCCCTCCATGGAAATCATCGCACGCAGGGTGTGGGGTGCCTCAAAAATTGGCCAAAGAAGCCGGATTTTGCTTTCCCCGGCCCCGTTTTTGACCTCCAGCTTTCACTTTAAACACCTTCCTTCGCATCTCGAGGACAAACATCGCCAAGTTTTGAAGATCAACTCTGAAGCAGTCTGGTTTGGCCGCCCGAACGGGTTGCGGTGTGCGGTGTGCAGACCTTGGAGCATGGGGTCAAAATCCAAATCTCACCCCCAGAGAACGGGACCCAATCCAACCACTAGGTGGTGAAATCACCAACCAACCAAAATGGGATCCCAAAACGGTTTTGACCCACAGCCAAAGGACAGAACTCGGCTCCTTTCCATACTGCGCACTGCCTGGCCAAGCGTCAGTGGCACAGACCAGGAGCATGTTCTCCCAGTTTTTCTGGCAGCCGTGTGAAGGGGGCATGCAATGGATGACTGCGCTTAGAACACCTGCTTGCCTGGGCTGCTACTTGCTTTGTGGCGTTGATGAGTGTCAGGCCACTCCTTTAGTTCTTTAAGCATGAGGGTGAGGGTGCCTGGTTTAGCAAAGGGCTTGAAAGTCATTAGCAATGACCATGGCTTGGGACAGGCGTATGAGCACTTCCGAAGCGCGGTTCATCTTTGGGACCTTTTGTTCCCCTGCTTGTGTGTGCCTAGGCTACTAAAGCCTAAACACCCATATCCTCAAGAAGTTGGTTGCGACACGGATTCTGTGAGCGTTCCGGAAGAAACTTGTACGGATGGGAAGCGTGATATTTCAGCTGGCAAGGTGATTTTCAGCTGGCATCGACCAATTTAAGGGCCTCACTGGCGAAGCACTATTGAGAGAGTCGCCTCAGGTGGCGCCGATGTCCGTCTTCGGGCACAAGATACACCTACTATCCAATGCTCACTTCATGGGCTTTCCAAAGTCCTCCCCAATTGTTACTCACGGATCTCACTTCGGTCTAAAATCCGATCATCCGCTGGTGGTCCAGGGGGAATTCAATTGATATGCAACAACATGCTCAGACCTCGCACATGTGCAGAGTCGCGAGCTTTTGTGAAGGCGCGTCTGAAGGAGGACATGCAGCGGGCAGGGGGACCTGGAACTGGGAAGCAACCATCGCTCAGGTTTGAAACTCCCAGCACGGGTCAATAGTCCAGCATTGTCTGTTTTCATTCGCGGCAAGTGCTTGTCCATGCATCCCTTTGTACTTGCACGGTTTGTGGCTGCTCACCTGTCCAAGCAATTGTTGTCTTTTCTCGAGCTTTCTGGAGATCAATAAACTACCAGTAACTGTCAAGCAAGCCTAGGCCTAGAATAGGACGGCGCAAGCACACGTCCGCTGCGGACTGGCACGTTGGAGGCCCAGGAGGTGGGTCTCTCACTCGAGGCCAGCCAGCTGGACGAGCAGGTTCTGCTGCAGCTTATGCAGCTGAAGAATACCAGCCCGGGGCACATTTTTTTTTTGTCAGGGTTGCTCTGAACCCTATCGGACAAGGTGGAGGTGATTCATCTGCAAAGGGTTCACCGTCCACAAGTTTGCTGCTTCATGATCTGGGCAAGGATGAAACGAAAGCCTAGCGGAGGTACCGAGAGATAAAGAGAATTAGCTCGTCAATCACTTCTTTCTGTCCCATCAATCATTTCTGGTTCTTTGACGAGCTAATGTAACCTTCATTCTTTTACTATTCTCTTCTCTATATCCTTTTTCACCTCCACATATAGGATTGTAAGAATCTGCAGTTCTCACCCTTCATTTGTGGAAGCATATAATTGAATGAAGGAATTTGGAGTGAAAAGATGAGAAAGAAATAGAAAGAGAAGACAGACAGGTGAAAGCTGGTGAGATAAATGATTTCATGAATGTAGGACCAGCTTTCATCAGCTCTTATCTTTCTATCTTTATGGGCGCAAGTAAGTGTGTGTGTGTGTGTGTGTGTCCGTGTGTGAGTGTGCGTGTGTGTAAGTGTGTGTAAGTGTGTGTAGGTGTGTGTAGGTGTGTGTAGGTGTATGTGTAAGTGTGTGTTTGTGCGTAAGTGTGTGTAAGTGTGTACGCGTGCGCGTGTGATGTGTGAGAGAAGAAGAGTTGCACATGAAATTCGGAGCTTGGCCAACGCATGGTTAACGCGTCCGGACAAATTCCCGCCTCACCCCACCCCACACTACCCCCTCCCAAACGCACGACACGTGGCTGGAAGCTCATGGTCACTCATGACTCGGCGAGCAAAAACGAACAAACCACAACGTAGAACATGGGTCGTGTGTGTTTGTGTGTGTGTGTGTGTTTGCTTTCATTTCCAGGGGGGGAAGTTGTCCAGCCTTGCCTCGAGCTCACTTGCTTCTCTTCACCAAATGATCCATATGGATCAAGCACTGCAAAGCATAGACGAGGGACTGGAGGAGGTGTTCTTTTTTTGTTTTTCTTTGCGAGTGCTGAGGTGAGTGACTTGAGACGTGCTTGGCTTTCATGAAATACCAAGCCTTCAGCATTTAACATTTCCGATCCGAAACACCCCAGGGATGAGTTGGAGCCGGCGAGTGATCTGTTGGACATGTTTTTTGGGCCCGCTTGGGGTGCCTGAATTGTCCAGTTGCTTGCAGCTATTTTGAGCGCGCTCACGGCAACCGCTTTTGGGTGTACCCAATGCTCGGCACAACAAATCATATTTCGGCTCCCACTACTTTAAGACCTGCCCAGTTTGTATTTTGGCTGGTTTTCAAAGGGACACTTCATGGAAACCCTGAGAGAAGTCCCTAAAGAAAATTCCCGGCGCGGTGTTTGGGGTCCAGTTCTCTATGGGTTTTCTGGTGGGCATTCCGAGCATAGGCGTCCTTGGTGGTTGTTTTGGTCGAAACATCGATGGGTTTCGATTCCTGGTTTTTACCCGTTTTTTTATCTACCAGGGAAACCCATTTTTTTCCCCCTAAAAGGACACCTGGGCCTTCCGAGGTGTGGATGTGGTGAAGGTGCCCTGGGCCTCTTTAGTGCAGATCCAGGCGGAGTACTTCATGGCGCAACAGGCCACTCGGCCACTCGGGGCGGGCGGAATCTTCAGTCGAGTTGTTCGCGGGGTTCACGGGAAGCCGAGGTCAAGCCGTTTAAGCGGAACCGCTGAAAGGACCAGTGGAGCTGTTTGCACGAGCCAACTGGCTCTGAACATGTCCCTTTCAACCATTCCCACTGTCTTCGTGCACGAGCCAACTAGCCTTTGAACAACTGGGTTTCAACCATTCCCGCTGTTGTGAAAAAATACTTCGCTTCGAGCAATCCCCACCCTCCACACTCGCGAGCTTACGACCGTGACACGGTTGTGTGAATTCAAGCGTGGTTTTCGAGTGGCTTGGGGCCTATCACTGCTCAACAAGCTTTGCATTGAGAGCCTTATCCACCTGTCTGTGTGTCAAACTCCACTTGTCTGCGAGCCGATCTCGAGAACTCAAACATCGGTTCCGTTAACAAAAGCCAAGCCCCTTCCAAAAAGAAACCCGACGGGGGATTAAACGAAGTTGCTTATTCACAACCCAAAGCAATACAAAGGCATCACCCTTTCCGAGCCTCAGGGTACACTCAAAACACGAAGGCACCAACATGAAATGTAAACCCAACTGTGTGCCGGGCGGGACATTAAGCAAAACCAGACTGGCGAGCTGCTCTGGTGGGATACTCGGCGGGACCCACTGGCGAGGGGATACTCGGCGGGATCCACTGGCGAACAGCTCTGGCGGGATACTCGGTGGGATCTGGCGAGCTGCTCTGGCGGGATACTCGGCGGGATCCACTGGCGAGCTGCTCTGGCGGGATACTGGGTGGGGGCGTGTTTTGTCTTTTCCGAGCTCCCAATGGGTATCAGGCTCCAAGGACTGAAAGAAGCGCTCAGGTGGCTTGGGCACCGCTGGGCGAAGCCTTCGACGACTACGGGGGCCTCGCCTCGGTGCAAATCACCTGAGCCGAGTCGCGAAGAAAGTGTTGCACGCTCGCGCGCGCGCAAGCGGCCGAATTGCAGCTGGGACGGGGGTTGCATGGCGGAGTCGAGAGCCGTGCCCACCCGAAACGGATCTCAAGGTCCAAACAAGGAGCCAGCTGCATTTTCTGGCCTCTTTCAGCGTGCGCGAGTTGACAGGGATGCCGGGATGCCTGTTCAGGACTTGCGATCTAGGAGGCTTTCAGTCGGAGCAGGTGGTTGGAGTCCGTCCTTGCATACAGGCTGTCTCTCTGGACTAAGGCAAGTTCTTGTCGTGTGCTAGGATTCTGGCTCTTTGTCGACAATCCGGGTGTTCTAGCTCAGTATCCTATGTCGGTGCCAGAGTCAAGCAAACTTATATGTAAGCACACTACCACTATATCAGCTTACATGTCAGATTGTCCCCCCAACCAGCACCAGCAACCCGGTCAGTTTGGATCATTGTAGGGGGCGGCCCGAAGTCCTATCATATTGGCTGGGATGACCCAAGATGTACGTACCTTAATTTGATTTGTACCACGTGTGTAGACCAAATGGATGGTACTGACCATTTGGGTATGTGTCAAACGAGACCACAAAGAAACCGCAGGTTTTAGTCCTTGGTTCCATTTGCAAGGGTTCCATTCTGGGTACCTATGTTTGACAGACCATTTGAATCGAATGTTCAACGGCCACCAACTCGCCGTCCACCGCTCCGTCCAGCTCCGTAGCGGATTGGAATCCGCGCGCAATGAAGGTCGCCCAGGCGGGCGACTGGCGTTCAAAAGGTGTGAGGCACGGACCAAATGGTTGGTTCAATGGTTTCCTTTTGTCTTTAAGAATTCCAAACGGGCGGCATTTGGCAAAATTCAAGGAATTCCACGAGGCATTTGGCAAAATTCAAGGAGTTCCAAAAGGGCGGCATTTGGCAACATTCAAGGAATTCCATGAGGGCGGCATTTGGCAAAAGGAGGGGGTATTTATTTTAGGATGTTTTTTTTTTCCGCTTTTGGCTTCTTGGATTCTTGGCTCGGCTTCTGGGCTTTTCGGTTTTTTGTTGGTTTATGCGGCTTTTAGTGGCTTTTTGGCTTTGGCTTTTCGCATCCTCTGCATTCCCAGTTCCTCTTCGGCACGGCTTTTGGCGGCTTTTGCTTTTCGCATCCTGGCTTTTGCACCCTTTCATTGGTTTTTGGATTTGCAGTTTCTCCCTTTGAATCATCACTTCTTCCGACATCATGGGGGGGCTGGAACCCCCCCCCAACCCCCCGCTACTTTTTAGATTTCTTGCAGAGGTTGCATTGCACCCCTATTTGAATCATCACTTGTCCAATTTCGCGAGAAAATGCTGCAAAATAATCTGTGTAATCCATGTATGTCTGTATGTATGCACTTCTTCGAACATCATAGGGGAAGCCACCCCCGCCAACCCTCCCGCTGCCTTATAAACTTATAAATTCTATCGCACCCTTTCTTGAATCATTGCGAATCATCACTTCTTCCGACATCATGGGGGGGGCTGCCAGTTAGACCAGACCTTGCCCATCTTTTTTCTATGAAAAATCCTAGGGTTCTCCCTACACTTTTAGCAACATTTTATAACAGCGCCTCAAACAGCACATTTTCAAAAATCAACATTTCAAAGCAGGTAATTTCCTAGTAAGTTCATCCATATTTTTAAATCTAAAATTTTCAAAAACATAAATTTTTCAATATTTTCAAAAAATCATTTAAAACCAAATCATTTTTTTAAATAGAAATTTTCAAAAATAAATTTTCAAAATAAATTTTTAAAAATAAAATTTAAAAAATATTTTTCCAAATTTTCAATAATATTTTCAATAAATATTATTCCAAAAAATATGATAAATTATTTTACAATATTTTTATCATAAATTTTGTAAGACAATATACGGGCAATATTAAGTTTATTCATTTCGAAATTGTGCAATATTTTTTTGGGAATATTATAATTATGGCGGAAAGACGGGCAAGGTTAGGTTTATTCAGGTATACCTAATCTCGGGACAATAGTTTAATTTGATATTATCATATATGGTAAAATTATGTTCATGAATGTATTTTACTATGTCATTAAATTCTTTCAGTTTACTTGGTGGTACAAAATGTTTTAAACGCGTAGGGTCATGTAAACGACTGTTAAATCCAGTTCTGTATTTCTTAACCCTGCTTGGTGCTATATTAAAGTGTGGCTTTAATTCTTCTTCCTTTGGGAATTTATAAAACTCATTAAAATAGTATATTGTAGAGAAATCATTAAGATATCCATTCGCGTGGTCAATTGTCTGTTTCAAAAACATGCAGTAATTACATTCGCATTTTCGTTCTCCATATTCTTTGATTAACCTAATGGCATTGAATGGCAACTTCAAACAAACTAACAGAGATGAATTGTATTTATGTTTGGATAATTCGTGTTTGATAATCTTTTCTGTTTCATTTTTGTTTAAGTCATTCAAGAATTTATTAATAACTTCCTCCTGCTCGGTCTCGGTAAAATACACCATTATTATATTAATATATTATAATAATATTTGTAAGTATATTTTTACAATAATTATTTTTTACAGGAACATTTCTATATTTCTTTTTTAGAAATAGTTTTTCTACAATACAATTTCTATATTTTTATATATTGCTTTTACTAGAAATGTAGGATTAAATTAACATTATATTTAAACTATTATCATTTACAACTACAATTACAACGACAACAATAAGGAATGATATTTTCTATTGTATGGGTTATTTCATTATCTTTTCGTTGTGCTGTTAGATTAGTCATTATATTACCATCTTTCATATCAATAGTAAAACCGCAACCGCAGTAATTACATTGATTATTTATATTATTTAAACACCATTGAGCATTTACATAACCTTCTCTAGGTATGCTTCTTTTTGCTTTCCTGTCTTGTTCCTTGTAATTCAAAATTTTCCTTTCAAAATAACTCATAATACATTTTTGATTAAATACATCATCAACACCTTTCGTATATTTTTAAAATTTGACTTTGTTTAAATCTCTACATCTTGTAATTGCTGTCCATATCCATTCTGGATAATTATTTACCAAAAAATGATTATAATCAAAAATTGTTTTGGTGTCATCAATGCTACTACCTTGAGCAGAATGACATGTAGAGCAAGAAGCAAATATAAAATTGCTTCTTATTTTAGCAACTTCTACGGATTGTACAATGTCGGTTTTAACATTTTTTAATGTAAATATTCCATCGCTTCCAATATGAACTATTTTGTATTTGACATTTACATTAAAAACTGATGTTTTAGTTTTAGTATATTCCCTACATATTAAAAATTATCCTACTTCATATTCATCCTTCCTGTTTTCCAGTTTCCTAATTTCATTGGATACATTTTTACAAGTTGTATTCAACAATGCTATGTTGTTTTTGGAACTACTTATGTCTGTGGTGTATTCAATATATTTTTCAATAATAGTTTTAATTGGTAATTTATTAACAAAAATATCAGACTTTATATTCTTGAGTTTATCTTTATCTTCCTGTGTGTTAAGTCTCTTACATTCTTTCAATATTATATTTGGTGTAAAAATATTATCTATAATATTGTCAGTGTATAATTTATAGTCTTGAGTATTTGTTATTTCTTGCACTGGTTTTAACTGCTTGGTGTCTCCTGTTGCTATTATAATTTTGTTGTGCTTATTCTGCTCTACAAATTGTTTTATTCTCCAATATATATTTAAATTACTGAAATAAATTTCATCGAATTCAATTACATCAAATTCTGTAAAATCAAATGGTTCTAATTTTGCATCGCCGTAGTTTATTCCAAAAAACTTATTTGTAGTCATTGCTTCACCTTCAAATGCCTGTAATAATTTATTAGTAGGACAAATAAATATTACCTTATGTTTTTTATCAACCATTTTTTGACATATATATGATTTTCCTGTGCCGGGTAGTTGTCCTTTAATCATAATAGGGTTATTCTGTTTAACAATCTCTATAATGTTATCAGTGTCATATTCATCTACAATATCAATAGTTTTACTTTCATAAACTTGTATTTTTATTAGTTCATTCTTCTCAACGTTATATTTTACTGTAGGTAAATTAATTTCTTCTCTCTGCTTTGACACTTTCCAACCTCCTATATCATTATGCAATTCTGATAATTGCTTTGTTTTTTTCTTCATTGCATGTATCAATTACAAAAGCATCTGTTTGTACACTATATACATTAATATTATTAGTTATTAGTGTCTTAAAGTCTTGGTTCATTTTAGAATTGTGATGTTGTAAAAGTAGTTCCTTAATATATCTATATCCGTTTCTTAATACTGCCTTATCCTTCTAATTTAATATATAATACGATGCCTTTACATCCCACTCATCCTCATCAAATCCATAATATGTTGTAGTTGCACCTCCTTCGTCGTCATATTCGGTTACCGTTTCGGGATATTCGCTTACAATATGCGATAACTTATTAATTTTACCTCCGTATTCTGTTTGACAATGGACTGCTTCATCAATACTTTTTAAATAAAATTCTTTGATGAGCCGTAGCACTTCCTTTTTCTAATAATCCAAAATTTAGATTTGCTATTAACTTCTTAATTAGTTTATCTAATGCTTCGTCATGTTCATCTATATTTGTTTGTAAAAGTTCATGAATAATATTTGTAGATTCAACCTTATGAATAAAGGAAGGTTGTTTATAACAAAAAGTATTGATTTTGTGTGTCTTATTCTCATTGATGAATTCCTTCAAAAACTTGCCATATACTAGATTATATTTGTTGTTGAAAAATAAGTTGTGACTACCACTTTTTACAATGTTTTTAATTGCTTGTTTTAATTCATAGGGATTTAAAAACCAACTTAAATCATGTGTTTTACGAAATTCTATATAAGTAGCAACGTCAATACCTTTACTATATGCCATAGAATATATCATCTGCTTGGTGCGATGGTTTTTCTCTATTAGTTCCTTAATGCTGTCCATTGTTGTTTTTAATGG